GGAGCTGTTCTCAATAATCTTGTCTTCGATTTCATTTAGTACGTTAGTTTGTTTAAACTGGAATAATACGGCTTTATTATGTACGCGTTTTATGTAACATTAATTATATATATATATATATATATATATATATATGTATATAATTATCTCAATTCTCTCTTTCATCGAATACCGCACGAATCTCCGGTATCGAGGAAGGTTATCACGTGATTAAATGCACAAGAACGCGATGCAATTTGTTGCGAAGAAAGTACAATATCTCACTAATGACTAAAGCTATTATTCTTTTTACAATACTTGTCGCTCTTTCGTCGTCGTGACAGCTTCAAACATTCCTCTCAAGGTGAAGATTAAAACACAATAAATTTTCATCGTCGACATTGAAAACTTAGTAGACTATAATCAGTTTTTTTTCGGCATACTATACACACTATTAGGTTATTTTCGCATTTCTATCGGGACGCTTGAAATCGCGACAATTATCACCTTTTACATTTCCGTCGATTAAAACATTCACGCTAAAATTTAATTTGCGGTATTTAATTTGCAATCAATCGCGAGTGTATTACCGTTAAAGCAAGTATAAATAAATACAGGAAGTTATTGCATATTGCCGAAGTAATTGCTAGAAGTAGTGATAAGCCTATTAAATGTTAATAGAGGGAATTCCGCGGACTCGCCATTCTAAAATATTAAAATGTTAGTCTCTATTTACGATAAAACAATCTACCGATATATACCCGTTTGTTTCCCCAAAGCTGTTCGTGTGATTCATGTATTCGTTACAATCGTTATGTGTTCAACGATACAGTATCGCATTAAATGCGAAAAATTCTGGATCGCTCGTTCGGAAATAATCACGGCCGCAGTGTAATAAAAACGGACCTTTCGGAATCGGGAAATACTCGATGCAAAACGCGCCGTGCAAAGCAAACAATAACTTTTTCAACCCGTTTCAAGGGTGTCTTGGCAGGAGCGGAAACGCATAGAAATGTGATCGCGTTTGTAGAATATCGAGATTCAACATCGTGATACGAGTCGCGCGAGCCGAACTATGTGGACCGATAATTCTGACTCGTCCTTATCGCTATCTGTCGGAAGCAGACGTCCCAGTATTATTACGGATTTCACGTGATTTACAATGGTTTGCGCAGATGGGGGCGAAAATGGCGGTGAAGAAAAAAAAATTCATCAAGTCAGCGATCAGTCTCAACATTTGCGTAGATAAGAGCGATTATGCTGAAATTCGCATTTACTTTCTTGTCCCGAACATTCATTCGCGTTCCGTTCATCAAAGCGAGGCTTTTGATCGAAATAAGAAAACTCGTGCGATTACCGAGTTTACAATGCTGTCGAAAGTGTCGAATTAACGTGCGTGAAGAAGAAATGTACTGATTAAAATTGAACTCGGAGTTTTCAAATTTCATTAAAATATATGCGATTGAAACGTTTTTTTGACTTTGCTAAGGAAAGTCTCATTAGGTCGAAATTCGCTTAATTATAATAAAACTATTAATTATTCGATTAATTTCGTGGCACGAATTTCTTCTTCTTCATACATCGATTTCTACGTTTTGTCTATCGTTGCCCTTCTTCAACTTTTACGATCGTGTATTTCAAAGTTTAATACTCTTTTTATAGATCCATTTTCTTTCTCGTACGTACGGTTTTTTTTTTATGTATGTTACGCATCATGCTGGGATGAAGACCATATTCGATCAAGATGGATCTCAGTGCTTAATAATATTTTTATGTGAATTTTACAACTTTCAATTCAAGCAAACTCAATTATTTGGATTTGACAAATTTTCGGAATCTTTGAACAAATTTTTCGTCGCGAATTTCTCTAGTTTAATTTGACATCTCATACAGTTTTTCGACCCTTACAAAACCGTTTAAAAAATATGTTTTGTGAATGCGAATTAAATGAAGACTATTAAAAATTACAATGATATTAAAATAGAAAGTAATGATATTAAATAATGAAGAAATTAATGTATTAATGTTCCACGAAGAAATTTCGGTAGAAACCGTTAGAAGTTTTAGTCCTAGCCCGAAGACACTGTTCGTCGATTAACGATGCCCTTATAGAGACATTGACGATTTATTACGCTAATTGTCGTATTAGCTGATGTCGCCTATGTCGTTTCTACGCGATACGAGGATACGATTCGATACGAGAAACTATACGAGAGATTTACAATTTTTACCAGAGCTCATTACGACCTTTCTAATTCCATTCCTTGGCGAGCTCGTCCGTCGTGGGAATCCATTCTTGCTTCACGTAAATCAAACCCGGATCATAGTGATCGCCGTGGTGCTCTTCAAGGTTCCGCTGATGGGACCTTGAATTCCGATATTCTCAGTACTTCTGCAACGTTATCGGCAGATTACCGCTGGTGTTGACGGCATTACAGTCTTGGTAATATCTGTGATACAGCGGCGGAGACGGCGCCGCGCCCGTCGAAAGCGGCGTCGGCGGGCTGGACCTACGATAGATCACACCGTGTTCTGAAGATATAGCTTTTCTGTAATTTGTATTATGTATGTTTAAAAAGAAATGGATCTAACACGTCCCTATTCTCGGTTACGAATACTGTGATTACTTTTTTCTGTATAACTCTAACATACTGTTTGTCGAGACAGTGTATTAAAATTTTCAAAAATGTATAATGATAAAATATTATGTAGTTAAATAATTCTCTTTGGTAATGTGTTGAGTAGTGCACTTTTCATTTTATAATATGTAGCTGTTTATTTCATGTCACACATTAAAACTTTTATACCGACATTAATTTTCTACAAGGAATTTTGATAATGCCAGTCATCAAAGAAGATAATACAATAGAAATTCTTGGAATTATGAATTTTTTTCTAGAGTTATATGCAAAATCCTATGTAACAATGGCCTTAGAAACGGTGACAGTAATTTAATTATTTATTATATATTAGTTATTTTGAGTTATATTAATCATTTGGTACTTAAGGATATCAAATCAGCAAATTAATTGTGATGTAATCTGACTTACTGTTTACAATTAGTATTACCTATTTCTTACTGCTTTTACAAAATAATGTATAACAAAGTATGACAAAGTTAAATGCAACTAGTGCCATCGACACAAAAAAATTGGATACAATCGCAACTAAATTCTACAACTGTCATATAATGAAAATGATTTAAAATAACTCGGCGCAAAATAACTTGTATTATTTCTTTATTATTTATCATATGATCGTATTGGTATAAAAATTCGTGTCATTCTCCGTTCTCCGTAAAGAAGGAGACGATTTTGCGTTTATTAATCGTACGAGCACGAGACTTCCATCATCGAATTCGGATCTCGAGGCGAGCGTCATGTTCTCTTGAACGATGCGAAATGATTCAGGTATTCGTTCTGGTACTCATTCTGGTACTCGTACCTGTAAAGCTGGCAGCTCGGGGACTGGGTGTCCTGATAGATCGCGGTGTCGGGGCTGGCGTCTTGATACCACTGCGAATGGCCCACGGCGTTGCTCGCGTGATTCCGCGCCGTGTTGTACTCGTGGTCCATGATGGCGTATCCGGCGGCCGCCGGTGCACAATACGGTGTGTACATGGTGCCGGGTGGCGAGGCGTTGCCTCTGGAAACGGTACTGGTATGCCCGTAGCCGCTGGTGGCCATCATCGCCGCCACCGCTGCCGTCGTGGTAGTCGTGGTGGTGCCCGCGGATGATAGATCCCTGCTGCCGCTGCCCATGGATTCCCTGCTACTCATAATCGAATGCGGATGCTGGAGCCCGTGCGGATGGTGCGAGTGGTGCTGGTTATCACGCGTCATCAGACCGGGATTGTTCTCCCGTGTCGTCATTAGTGCATCGACGCTGAAGCTGGTTGGATCCAGACCGGCCATCGACACGTCCTGGATCGATTCCTGGTGCACTTGGTGCGCCTGGTGCACCTGATGACCCAGAGCCGTCTGGATAACGCTCTGGCCAGGCGCCGCGACCGTCGCCGTCGTCGTCTTATCCTCCTGTATCGGGCTGTGCAGCCCGTATTTGCTGGCTTGGACCGCAGCAGCCGCGGCCGCCGCCGCTGCCATGCAATGGTTATCGTTCACCGGTTCCCGTTTGGGCTTGCACAGACCGGTGGCCTCCAGGGCGCCCAACTTCTTCGTCGAAGTGTCCGACGGTGGCGGCAGCGCGACCTGACTGCTACTAGATTTAACGTCCTCCTGACGTTTCTCCGGTAGGATACCCTGCCGTTTTAGCGCCTCTTCCTTCTCCTTCAGCGCGTCCTTCTTCTTGAAACGCCTGCGACGTCTCAAATAAGAGCCATTGTCAAACATATTGTAGCTATCCGGGTCTAAGGACCAGTAACTCCCTTTTCCGGGTTTCTTATCGTCCCGCGGCACTTTCACAAAGCATTCGTTCAGGCTGAGGTTGTGCCGGATGGAGTTCTGCCAACCCTGCTTGTTTTCACGATAATACGGGAAACGGTCCATAATGAATTGGTAGATACCATTCAGCGTGATCTTCTTGTCGGGCGCATTCTGGATGGCCATCGCGATCAGCGCGATGTAGGAGTAAGGTGGCTTCACCATATCCTTGCCGGCGTGATGAATGTGCTGCTGTCCGATACCCGACACCGGGTATCCTGTAGCCGTCGCATACCCGCCGTATCGATACTGCTCGTAATAACTCCCGGGAGCACCGACCGCCGGGTACGACGGCGCGCCCATGCCCATCGGCACCGTCGCCGCGTGCCGATAGTACGCATTCTGCTCGCTGAAGAGCGTGTGCATCTTCGCGCACTCGCTCTCAGTGTGATCCACGGACGACGATCGCGATCGAAACACTTGGTTCCAATTGGAGCGAAGGGACGATTGTTCTCCTCGCGTCTCTTCACTATTCCAGGGGAGATTCTCTAACGCACATATTTCTGTCCTTTTTAACGTCCGCGACACGCGCACTTATTCTTCGTGAATGCTGGAAAGAGCCTGGGAGTCGTTATATATTGGAAAAGAATTGTATTCGAAATTTTATTTTATGCAGTCTTTTGTTTTCTATTATATTGTTTATCACTTTATCACTGCGAAGTCTTCCTTGAAATTCTAATCTGTCCTATTAACAGCGATCATATGTTTCCCATTTTCGAATTGTAAATCACTAGTGTAGTCTGTCTTCGCAATTCACTTCGAATAGAACTGTTATATAATTGGTATCTTTTAAAATATACAAATAATATATAAAAGTTTATATTCGATAAAGAGTGTCGCTATTTTTCGAAATTATTCTTCTACGTTTATTCTGCATTATCATTGCCCTCTTTTCACAGTTTCACTTGTATCACTGACTTGGCAAGTAGGTGTTAAACAATGAACAATGAAACATTCTTAATGAATATTCATGTCTCAATTTTTCAATCAAATGTTATTTATTTATTTATTTTTTCGTTACTATGGTAAAACTCGCGTTTGCACTATCACTTATCTGTCGCTTTGAGCACTTGGAGCGCCGTCACTGCATCACCGTGGACCACGCAATCCAAATCTTCGATCGATAGATTTCTAATGAGCGATCGCGCTGAAATCCCGAAAAATACGGCGCCGTCGTTTATGAAGTCTGCGGCGCGCCCCGCTGCTCCGTGATAGTATTTTGTTGACCGTACCCCGGGAATCCTCGTCTTAGACACGGTGACGGAAGACGGGGTGTGCGAGGCCGCGGTGAAGGCAGGAGACGAAGGTGCATTCAGTTGAACAGTGCGACTCAGGCCGCTAGCGCGAGGACGCACGCTAACCCCGTTAGCACCCGCGTGTGCACGGCACGGTATTATGATACACAACAGGCCGGAGTTTACTCAACCCCGAGTAAAAACACACTGGGAGCTCGACGTCGCGCGCGGAACGGAGTGCTCCGGCGGCCTCGGCACGGCCAGAGGACGGCTGCGCCGTTCGTGCGCCTTCGAAAAATCACGAGGTTTCCGACACATCGTATTACGCCATTGGCCGCGCGATCGTGGAGCCGCGCGTGTGTTTCCGCCCACATCGCAGGACCAATCCGCTCGGAAGCGGTGAACGCCGCCGTATACGGCCGCCCTCAATGAGACTCCGCCAATAACCGCGCGGTAAACGCTCGCATGGTCACGCCCTCGTCACCTCGCGCAAGGGCTCAGGACTCTCCGCTCCGCGTTACCAGCCGTACTGCACGCCGCGATGCGGAATTTTTCCGCGGCCATCGGCCGTCGGATACTTTTCGCGATACCAAGCGGACAACGAGCACGAGGATTAAGGTGGTGATCTCGGTGGATCTTGCCCGGGACAGCAGAAACTGCGGAAACGAGTGATAGTTGCATGCGCGCGGTGCCTCAGCCAGAAATTGAGCAAGTGTCGAGGATGTTTAGGGTGACAGTGACAAGAATCGTTTCAGACAGCCGTGTGATTGCGATTTCATAGCGCGCGCCTTTAAAAAAAAGAACGAGCGTTAGACGTCATCGAGCAACGGAGATGCTCACCTTATCAAGTATTTCTTAAATTTTTTGTTAAAAGGTATCAACGAAAATCAGATTAAATTCGAAGATGGCATTGACGTTATTTGTGATATTCGTCGATTGTGAAATATTTTTGTCTTTGTTATTACAATATATATGATGCAACTCGCAGAAAGTGCTTTATGGATTTTGACAGGACTAAAATTTAAGCTACAGCGGTCCATATTCATATTTTGTATTTAGCGCTAAATCTACTCAGATAACATTTGTGCAAGCTTGATATGATACAAATGAAAGAATTAAATGTTCAGTATTACACTGGTTAAATACAAAGCTACATCTCGCAAATGAGTTCTGCAAAATGTTTGATTTTATATATATAATATATATATATATATATAAAAGAAATAATTTAAGTTGAAAACTTTTAATTCTGTAAAAAATACCAACTGCAAAATATATTTACCCAATTAATTATCATCTAATCTTTCTTATTTTGACTGATAAAAAGGATTTAAAGTCAACAATATATTAATTTTATTATATTTTACAGAAAATCATTCTAGATGTAATTCTAATCGAATTATTAAAAAAGTAGAATATTATTTTTTTTTTAATATCGATTTTAATAATTTATTTTAATAATTTATTACTAATTCTTCATCTATTTAAAGCAATGTTCATCGATCCTAAATATCACATAATTTGCAAATTTATGCGACTAAGAAACTCGTGGAGGACGTTGTGACGATAATGTCACGTGGATAGATGGAAAAGAGGCAACTTCGCGTTCTTGCAGCACGACACTTTCAATTTAGCGTCTGTTTTTCCAAGGGTTCGACTCCCGCCTTGCGAAAACACTCGACAGGACACGTCGCCACCCTCCATTTCTCGTCGTCAAGTTTCCGCCTCCGTCCGAATCGTGCTATCCAGGTTCTCAAAATACCTTCGATCCTTCTAGACGCTCCACTTTCCGCCATTTAAATTGATTCGACGCAAATATAGTGCTTGTTACTGAAATCAAGTTGCGAAAGCTGAGAACAAGCCATCGAAAGCGATTGATTTTCTACGTGCTAACATACTTAATTGTCTCCATCCTATATTGCAGCATATATAATTTTAATAGTATCTATATAAGTATAGAAAAATGGCAAGTATATGTAAAAATATAAAAAATTATCATAGAATATATATTCTCTTTTATAACATATATATAAAAAATAAAAGTATAATTTAAAAGAAAAAAATATATATATATATACTGCATGTGTAGGTTTGATATTTCTATAGATCTATATAAGATTTCACTAAATTTATAATCATTGAGCACAATATTCAACCCTGCCCCGTAGAAATTTTCGCTAAAGAAAAATAATTTTATTTTGTTTATATGTATTTAAACAATTCAAAAATTTAACTCATAAGACATTTCGTAAGTAATTATAATAATAATAAAACAATAAATTAGACAAATGAATATAGAGGAACGTTAAATATGATCTTACGGCTGAATCTTGATGCCTAATAATATTTCAGCATGAATTATTAAATATATTTTCCAATTCTTTTCAAATTTTTTAAGATGTTTTAAGGTTATTATTATTACTATTCAATTTAATGATCAATTTAATTTGTAATATTAATATTCTAGCTTTAATTTAGGACTGCGTTTCAAGAACGGCTGTACGCAGTTTGAAGAACAGGAAAATATATAAGGTACCTAATAATTCACGTAGAAATATTATTATATCGTATTAAAATCCAACCTCGATCGCATAATTGGCGCTCCTTTATTTGGGTTATTCACATAAGCGGTCTAGGTTAATTTGTTATTACAATAAATTAAAATATGTATGTATAGAATCTATTCCAAACTGGCACATATACATTTATATAGCTTCATTTCAACAGTTATTTCTCTTTACTGCAATTTATGTGCGCGAAAAACGCACGAGGAGCAATAACTTTCCGTTCGCGCGATCGTTATCGTGTATTTTCTTGCGCCACGCTCAAGTGTTAAATTGATCATTGCCTCTACCAGGCGACTAGGCGGTTAATTTTCATTTAAATGGAACGACAAGCGAGTGCTGTTAGGCATTCCACCTCTAGATCCACGCGGTCTCTTTCCCTCGCCCGCGGGCCAGCTGCCGCAAAACCAAGATGCAAAACGCTTTGGAAGTTCTGGCGAAAGTTTAATTGTCTTTTGCTTGCATTCTATCTAGGATTCCGCACCGAAGGGACGACGTGCTCTCGCAGCACAATCTATAATCTGCCTGCGATAAGATCAAAATTCACTATCTCATAGTACATTAAGGATATAGCAGCTTTACATTTTTTTCTCTTATGTATATATATATAAATTTTATTAAAAGTTTTTTTATTTTGAAAGATTTTCAAGATGTTTAATATTAGTAAAAATAGAGAGTTATTGGTTATTACAACATATATGTTAAGTAATGAATTATCTGTCAACATTTAGAGAATAATCAGGAATAATTTAGAAAATGATATAAACTATAAAAGAGAATGTTATTAAATGATGTGGAAAGAGAAAAAAATTTCAAAGATTTAAAAGTAAAAGTAGTTATTAATCGTTTCTATTTAGTTGATAAATTCCTAAACACTAATCACAATCGTAGATAAATTCGCAGTTTATTGAAAAATTCAACGCTTCATTTATTTGATCATCGCAAACAATCGATCAGGATACATCTGCAATATCTGAGAAAGCCGGATTTACTTAGTCGACGTTAAACTTAATAAGATTGCTTCATGAAGCAGAGTTTGTTCGTAATCGGGATCAACGTCGATTCGACGTAGGGCGTACACGAGTGATTTGCATATTTGTTATCGCCCCGCGGGCGCCGAAATCGATTAAACGGGCGGAACTAAAATTAATTATTGAAATAATTATCGGCTTCCAACCATGGCGCCATCATCGAAGCTAAATTAACGCCCAAAATGTCATTAAATTTATGAAACATAATCTCGTTGCGCACAATATTGCTCTGTATTGATTTTAAAAAGAACTCTAATTGTAAGTACGATAAATGTAAAGAACGTTTTGTTTAAGCGTACTATAAATATTGCTCGCGACATTTCGTGCATCTTAAGATTTTTCAGGGATGACGTTTTATATTTTGACTCGCGCAGCCGCTGCAAAATATTTTCCTTGTACTGCATCGCGGACGTGTTTGGAAAATTTCAAAACTTTTCAAAATAAACGATGCCTCTTGACCTATCCCACGCGACCGGATTCTGAGCGATATGAACGTCTGTGCCCCTCTAAGCTCTCTTTTCTTTTTCGTCTAGAAACAATAAACTTCTTATTTCGGTATGACATCGTTGTCGTCATCGTCTTATTAATCGGTCCGATCGATCGCAGTTTCCGCGAAAGAAAGTATATTGTGACGCATATACGAAATGTTATAAATAGCGCCGACTAACGTTATCGGTATTTTGTGCAAATAATTCGTGTCTGCGAATTGCGCGGCGTTTGTTGTCGGCGTATGTTTTCTTCGCCGAAACTGTGCCATTGCTTGACAAGTTCCTTGCGTGTTTTCCCGTAACTCCTACTTGTATCAATATTTTATCTTTGTAACTTTCTCTGTAAAAACACAAGTTTGTGTACAAGATATTTCGCGAACGAAGCTAACCTTACAATACTACGTTTTCATACATTGCTCTAATATCTCTCTTTCTGGTATACGTATTATTGTTGCATATGTATTTTCAGCAAGGTATTTAACACAAATTAAACATAAAGAAAGTCTTACTATATTTATCAAAAATTATTTAAAAATAATAACTGCACTTATTAAGACTTTAAATACAAAGCGCCTTTTCGGTCGAGTGTTAAGATGTTGAACTACTATCTAATATACATTCAATTAAATTGAATTAATATTTCAGAAAATAAATTGAGAGCCGATGAATTTATCGGATTCACACAATCAATCTGAAACAAATAATCCCCCCAAATTCTCCCAAATCTTAAAAAACTGTAATAAACTTATTGCGAAAAATATTGCCTCGGCCGGGAGTCGAACCCGGATCTCTTACATTCCGTGTGAGCGTCCTGAGCCTTTAGACTACTGCACTTATTAATTAAAAACAGACAGAGAGAGAGAGAGAGAGAGAGAGAGAGAGAGAGAGAGAGATAACAGAAATATCACAATATATATTTACGGTAAACTAATTAAAATCTGACGTTTTAATTCCAAAACACAATCAAGAGAATCGCAAAATAATTTTGTAAAAAATCTTTCGACGCATAGTGGAAAATGTAATGAGATTTCTGAAATAGTTTTGGTCCGATAGAAACGAAATTTAATTTTTTATCATTGATATGAAATATATAGTTTTTTCTTCTGAGCGCTCTCCTTGCTAGCGCGACTCTACACGAAGATGCGCATCGTACGATCCGATTAACTCGAGCAGAACACTCGTATTCCGTTCGGATTCCGTATGTTTCTCGTCTCGGTCAACGGCGGCAGTGTTTACATAGCGCGGTGAAATTTAATTCTCGGGACCTTCGAACCTACGGAGCCGAGTGTAAACCAATACTCGTGCCCGCTTCGCTGATATCCGACATCAGGAAAATGGCGCCGTCGTGGAAAAAGGGATGGAGCTGAAGAAAGAGATAATGCGCCGCCTCGAGAGACCGAAACCGTTACCATTCTAATTTTCAAAAACCAAACGTATCGGTGCGTCCAAAGAAAACAGGCACTATTAACCTCTAATTACCGCAATTCGTTGCGCGTCCTCTTCCTCGTTCCGCTTTCACAGAACCAACTTCCAACTGTCCTGCTGCAAATTTCCATGTGTTTTTGCATGGGTTCTTATATAGAGGACTTATAAGATTCTGTAGGAGCTTAGGAGTGTAGTTACCTGTAGGATTTGCGCAGCATGCATAAGTATATGTAGGACATTCATAGAAATGCAAATAAAAAAAGTACACGTTCCTATTCGTTAAAGTGCAATATCTATAAGCTTTTAGTACATCTATAGCCTTTTAGTATATCTATAGTTATATTATATCTTTTAGTTCCCATGAGACATCTCTTCCGCATTCCTATGAGTATAACTATATCAATTTGAGAGAATAATTCGTAACTCCCTAAAACTGGAAGCCACGAAGCCAGATAATAGTTAATAAACGAGGTACGTTCCACGTCAGGTAAAAAAAATCCTGACTGCCATAAGGAAA